TGACTTTCTGTTTGGCTTGGCTTCTGCTTTAGGTACAGGTGTATAGCTTCCTTCTTGGCTGTTTTGTAAGCTGAGTTGCCTCAGGCGTTAGTTGCCCCTAAAAATATGGAAATTACTCCTAGTGCTGAGGCAAGCTACCTGCTTTAATAACATGTATGGTCAGGGAAAGACCCTTCCACTGGTTTTTCTGTTTTCAAGGCCTCCTTTTCTTTCCTAAATTGTGCAGTGGCCTTGAGTTGATCTGTAGTGTCAAAAGAAATTCCAAGTAGAAATGACCCCTATCCTTCCAAAAAACAGCTTTTCCTTGGAGACCTTATTTCTCTGATTAGTGAGGATTAGTGAGTATCTGCTAGGATTTCCTTTATTTAGTTTTCATGGTACTGCACTAGTCTCTTAAAAATTATGTGTATGAGTTTTAGCCTTACATTGAGTCCCAGGTGACCATTATCCAGCAGAAACATTTGTGGTATGCATCTATATCTCCCTTATATTGTTTCATCAATGACGCATATTCTCATCATTGATGTTAATTTTCCTTTGATTATTTAAATCAGTTGTATGAAGATAGAGGAGCAGGGATATATTTCCTTCACTCACACTCAATCATTGGGGGATAACAAAAATTCATTAAAGACTGAAAGTTTTTGTCAGGCCACCAACTGAGACCCTAGAAACACACAGTTCACGTCCCAGCCATAAAGTCATGAATGACAATGGAGACAATATGAACTAATTCTTAGGAGAGGGACTGAGAAGTCTGGAGAAAAGGCATTGTTGATTGGCTCCTCTCATGCCAGGTGCAAGGTCCAGTGCTAAGTAGGAAAGATCAGCACTTCTCCCCAAATAGCCCGTGACGCTTCCCTTCCCCTCAGGTAGCAATGATGGATCAAGAACACATCCTATATGCAAGATAGATAAAAAACGGAACTAGAAGGGTCTTCTGGGGTTTGTTCCAGCCGGGGCACTTGTATAGAGAACTTGACGGTTACTCAAGTTATCGCCTTCTGTCCATGGTGCTGCTGTCAGTAAGCAGTTTTCTACCGCACAGCAGGCTAGTGGGATGCTCTTGATGCAATAGGTTCCAGTGATCCCTGGAAGTCTCATTGAAGAGAAGCACACACCTTAAAGATGACTGGGATTTTTTTTACAGCAGAATAAGTCTAAATCACACTGTGATGAAGACTCACAGTCTGACCTTGAGTTTGATGAATGCAGGACAAACTTTAAATAAAGACTGCTGCAGAGACATAGGACACATGAGAAGAAGCATGTTTAGGAATGAGCTTGCCTGGGGATCACCCTCCAGAATGGTGGAGTGAGGACCTCAGTGAACTCACCCTCCCACAAAAACAGCAGAAACACTGGCAAAAAAACCCTAAAATCAACTGTTTGAACACTTTGGAAATTAACCAAAGCCGCAGAACAAACTGAAAACCATCTATCCAAGAGAAACAACTGAACTTTGGTTAGAAGGTGGGATCCGTGATATTTTAACTTGTGGATGGGATACTATTCCCATCCACCCTCCCTCCCCAGCTCAGTTTCTTGGTAGCCACAAAAAGCCAGCAGTCTCACAGCCAGTGGAGAGGACTGACCTCTTGTGGAGCTCAATTAAAAGCAACATCCCCAGAGCACAATCAATATTTTGTCTGAACTTGCAGCTCCCTGAAAAACCTCTGTTCTTAGGTAGTTGTGGCTATTGGATTTGACTCCGAATTTAGCTTGACAGAAAAAAATACCCTGCTCCCAGAGCTTTATCAAAACAACAGGCATCCACTGGCAACATGGCAGCTGCTAAGGCTACACTTTGAGTAGGGGTTAGCAAGAGACAGGCTGGGAATTTAAGAGCACAGCCTGG